AACCACAGCGGGTTGACCTGATAGATGCTGTCCTCTCCACACTTCTCCCACACACAACATCTCATCCATACCACCTCTCATCTACAGCACAGCAGCAGGTTTTGGGCTCTCCTTCCAAACAATCACTACCGTACACATAGCCACTCATGACAGACACAAGCTGTCCAGAGCCCGCCAGCTCACAGCTTATAGTAATGTACCCGGTGCGCTGCCTGGCTGCCAGTTGAGATATCGGGTAAAGCTGCTGACCCAGCTTATGGATTTGTACGATGTTCAGCAAAGTGTTCTTATGTGAAGCCATAGGGTTAGGCATGCGTTTTTAGGTATTTGGGATAATTCAGGTAATGTCTTTTGCTACTCTGTTCCACTCGCAAAGACTTAAACTTCTGTCAATGTTACATCAATGTTGCAATGAAATGTGAACATGCAGACTCATTTTCAAAGTGGGCAGTACATCATATAGCTCCTGATATTGAGAAATAAAATGATACCCAGAAGAGGCCAAGTAAACAAGTATGAATGAATAACGTGAACTTAAAAGCTCCTTGCATTCAAATGTTAACCTGCCCCGCCATGTGGTTTGTTACACAGAACCATCTGAGAAGCCGTCAGTGGAAACAGTTTAGAAAAGGGCAGGCGCTTTCAAAAGATATGTGGCAGGGGAAGCAGATTCTGCATTTACATGTAGAATCCAAGTAGTGGGCAATGGGACCAGATTCTGGCACCGGAAGCGCTCTGGGTCTCTGTTTGTAGTCAGAGTAGTAGTGACTAATCACGTTGCAGCAAGCTTTGGTTGAATGCAGGTAAACTCTCTGTATGGAGAGCAAAAGAGGCGGAATGCATCGGCCGCAATGCAATCTCAGAACCCACCGGCTTTCGTCTGACGGTTTAGCTTTTTGGTTAAAAATGAGGGTGTAAAATGGCTCCATAAGAAACACTCCAGTCACACACGTTGTCTCTCAACTCCAACTGCAGATTGGATTTCCGATGTAAACAAAGAGCAATGCACAGAAAAGGAAGTCTTGGCCCGGATGTAAATATAAATACAAAGTTTTTGCCATCTTAAACATAAAATAATGACCTTTCTGAGTATTCCCGATGTTCTTATCGTACAGAAAGTGGCAATTTCAAAACTCTCAAAAAACATTATTTTATGAAAACATTAAAAAAGACTGTGACTGCAGAAGAGCACCCACAGGAAAGAAGTGATATTCAGGGGAGCAGGATTCCCCGGGGGTGGCAGATAAAAGTGCATCATGGACTGTAGAGTCGTGGGCCAGGTAGGAAAGGTCATTATGTGACAAAAGTTGCTCAAGGGACTTCACTGACCAAAACAGAAGGTCATGAAAGTAACTGGGAGCCACTGGCGCTAAAGAATGTTCTTCCTCCAACAACTGGAGGCGTCTCGCTCATGACCCTTGCGACCCCTATGCAATAAGACAGACTTACAAGCAGCCCTGGGGAAAAGAAAAGCAATACTTTGGCTTTGTTTGTTTAATAGCAAAATGAGCATAAGCTCCTTATGAACATCAGCATGTCAGCATTGTCATTGTGAGCATGCTAGCGCTAGCAGTAAGATCAAAGCATTACTGCTGTACATCAGTACAGCTTAACATAGCCGCTAGCCTGGCTCTTGTTTAGGGGCCATTGCTCTACTACTGGATAACATATAAAGCCATAAATAGCCCCAAAATTTAAAAAAAATTAAAAATCTTTGGGAGCCTAACTACAGAGAAAGAAAATCCTGACAAAAACTGTATTGGACATTCTGATTACTTTTGAATTAATTTGGCTTCAAAGTCCTCAGAAGTGAACTCAGAATGTGAATAGCCTGTTTAAACTTTTATTGGACACTTTCCATAAATCCTAAATTCCACCTCCACTCTGCATTATGAAAATATGATCTACTTTTCTCTGAATGAGATCCACTAGATAGCGGTCCTATTAGCAGTGATGCAGTGTTTGAGTAGGTACTGGATGTGTGTATGTCAGGCAGTGTTTAGTCTAGTACAGCTGAAAATGGTTCCATGAAATATGTGCAAATATGAAATAAATATCTGAGTTTGTCTGCTTTCATGTTTTGACATTGATTATGAATAAATGCATCTATCGAGAAAACCTATAAAAACTATGAGCCATTATTTCTACACATTACATCGAACATTTAGTTACGCTGCGTATCGCCTCCCTTTGAAAAGCCCAATGCCAGCTTTGAAAATAAACTTTCTTTTCCAGGCATATTTCATCTTGAACCACACTCCACAAAACCCCAGTGGATCAAAAGCTCAACACACACACACACACGTTAGGTTAGGCTGTCTGACCACAACGCCTGAGGATCTAAAACACACCCAAAACTTGGCCAGAACATGAAGACACGAAGCAGATGTTCTCTGCTCCCACCAGCTGCTGTGGGGAACTTTGGAGAAGCTGGACATCATTGTGTATTAGTGTTACAGACTCATCACATATGAGTAAGTACACTGGTTGCGGAACAATAATCACTGCAAACTTTTACTAAAATCTCAACTTAGTTTGACTCAATGCCTAAAATTTGTGTCTTGGTGACAACAGTATATAGAACTTTCACACTGTTTGTTGCAGCGCCATAAACTAAAGACATGTCTTTTTCTTGCTGCTAAGAGAGTTAAGACAGTGAGTCATTTTCCGTCTTTGCTGCTGACTCACATGTATCGTAATATGGATTTCACATCAAAAGATGAAGATGAGGCAAAAGAAAAACTGTCAACTTTCACGTGCGGGACTTCCCCGGGCATCCAGATTACAACAAGGCTAAAACAGTGACACCTGCAGAAAAACAAAACTTCACCTGACCTTTCTTACCAGTTGCCTTTCGGTCAGTATACACCTTGGTCAATTCACCCACCAGGGTTTTCAAGGCAATAGCTTCAAAAACATTACTTGATGTTTATCAGTGTTCATATGTTGTAGTACAAAACACCTGTCAAATCGACAGAACTTACAGACAGCTTCAGGTCATTTCTTACAACACCCCATTCAACTTCCAGAGGAACTTTTGTGATTTCATGCCAGTGGATATTAATGAAGTCTGCCAGTGCACATTAGCTCATTAATAATATTACAGATTAAACTATGATGAATTGGTGGACTGCACAATGCACTGTTCTGGCCCTGGTGTGACCAGTCTCTTATCTGACCTTTACAGATACAAGCTGTATAAGACACAGGAGACACGGAGACCCTCGTGGGGCAAGACTAGGCAGCAGATGAACATAAGCCTTATTCACAATAGAGAGGTCTGTGGACCTCTTTACACTGTGTCAGTTTCCAATAATAGATTATTTTAATTTCTACAGACACTTAAGGGAATACAGGTCTTGAAAGACTTTACTGAGTCAGATTTCTGTGGACTTGTGAAACTGACTGACTTGTTTCTTCTTCACTATATTTTTGCATATAGAAAAAAACATAGGAGAGACAAAGTATATCCTGTACTTCTATATTTAAAGTGTTGCCTGTTGCATCTCAAACATTATGCAGAATTGATAACAGCTGTTCTCTTTTTAAATTATGAATGTTTAATTCAGTAAAGACTGATCATAATGGCATTTCCAGCAACAAACAGTACTTTTATTTTTGAGACTTCAGGTACTTTCCTTCTGTGTGATTTTGAATGAGGTACTATTTTCAATTTAGTATTTTTACACTGTTATGCTGGTACTTAAATGAAGCATATGAGTACTTCTCCCACAACTGAAAATAAGAGACTGATTTGACACTAATTCACAATCTACTTGTACTTTTAAATCCAAATAGGAATGTTCATGAAGATGAGAATATGTCAGACTCTAGACATAGAATCAAGCACTAATTTGCATAAAATACAGGTCTGTTTTCCTAATATTGACTATTACGTAGTAGTAGTAACAGTATAAATGACGTCCATACTGTACATCCAGTGATACTACTCTATAAACACCAAGGTGTTAACAACAGGTCTTAACATATCTTAACAACATGCTCATCAGTCTTCAAGAGTGAAAGCTTCTTTCTGGTGAACTGTCAGCAGCAGCTGTGAGCTATAGTCATCTGTTTCAGGATGCATTTCACCTCAAAGGCAGCGTGATACGACATTGCTACTGAGACCCGCTGAGCTCTGTATGGGACCACGAGCAGAACTGGTTCTCTTATAAAAGCACAAACGGAGCAATGATTTAGGGCTATTCATCTAGGTCAAGAGAATAAATGGAGCTAGTTAACATGAGACAAACTAGAGAGTCATGCCATGTCAGCAGAATCATGAGTTAACAAAGAATAATGATTTTCAGCGTTCTCCCTTTCCTCTTTACTTTGTCTTCACACACAATCACAAGCATACACACAAGCTGCAGCACGTTCCCTCTGTAATGCATCAGCTGTTCTCACTACGCACTTGGAGAGCAGAGTTTAAAAATGGAAAGCTGGGAGAAAACTGGGGGTGGATAGGAGTTGTTGGAAAAAATGTGTTATTTCATAATAGGCATGGAGAATAATAATCTATACTGTATGTTGTTCCACAGGACGAATTAACATAGTGACCTACGGCTGCAGAATGGACGCTCTGTAATCAGCATTGTGCAGGTTTGTTTCTGCATCTCAGCGTGCGTCTGTGTTTAGCATTCAGAGTGACGAGGGTCAGAGGCACCTCAACGGTAGCAGTGTCTGTGTTAATAAAGGTCATTATTGTAGGAGAGGGAGCCACAGAAACCTGGGAAAGAGAGGAGACTGTGTGAAGAGAAGAAGTTGAGATTGAAGAGAAAATGAAGTGTAAGGAAGAGGAAGGAATCCATAAGAATGTGGTCCATGTCCGACGGGCACTCCCTGTTAATTATTTTGCATCTCTGACATTTGACCATACATTTTTATAGGTTACACTTTGACCCATTTTCGTTTGCCATATGTAGGAAAAGAAGAAAGAATTGCTGGTTTGGAATACGAGAAGAGAGCGAGGAAGACAAGAAGAAATCGACTGTACTCACTCAGCGTTTGCCATGATGGTGGCTGATGGAGAGGGGAGAGATGTGGAGATGGTTGTCACAAGGTTTCCACTCAGTTCTGTCTGTTTAAGTGCTGCAGTTCACCTTTTCACCTGATAGACGCTGCTTTCATGTGGAACCTGGGGAAGAACATGGCCATTATTGCAAGTGAAGAACCTATTTCAAAAGTTATTGCATAGTGATGCAAACATAGCAAGATTCAGAAATGTTACATACAGGTCCAATAATAATCTGGGTGGCTGTCTGGTGACGTATATTGCAACATCACAACTTCTGATATATGGGGCATTCCATAAACATTTTAAGAATATTAGATAGCCAAATGAAGCCCCTTCTTGACTGCATCCCATATGATACGTTTCTTTTATCCGGTGATGAAAAATATGAAATTGGTGGAACTCATTGCTTTCATCACGAGTGACAAGCCATCAGGAAGCAGTTTGAGGGATAGTCCTAAGGTATGGTCAGTCACAGTGGTAATGTCAGACTAACAGAAACCGCAACTCTTGCAGCTTTATAGGTTAAACATGTTGTTGAAAAGTTGAATGCAATAAAAATGTACAAAACAATAAATGATATTAGCTACAGAGCCTTGGCTATACTCCACATAACCCCAAACTTTAAGGGAACTTTTGCAAATGTAAACTTTTAATCACACCCTTAAAGCATTTATCTGCTTACAGTTCTGGGATTAAACAATCAACACAAACATGTTAAGACTTTTCAATTCCTGCCATCAGAGTAATAAATGCATCCGTGACAAAAACGGATTTACTTGGTATCAGATTCCAACTAAATGAAATTTCTGCTCACAACTACTGAGAGCTCCTAGCTGTACATAATAATGAATTATTTATTCGCAGCAAAGGACCTACCTGTGTGAGATTTACATTGTTGACGCGTAATCGTGCCTCCCGCTGCCCCCTTGCTGATAGTAATGTCTCCCTCGGTGATGATCAGAGTAAGTGAAGCAGCAGCAGGCTCGCAGTGTGTGTAGGCTGCAGCTATCCTTAGCACTTTTGCATTGGACGAGCACTGCTGCTGCTGCTGCTGCTGCTGCTGCTGCTGCTCCCACTTGCGCTGCTTGGATTTCTGTGCAAAACCAAAAGAGGGTCTGAAGCTCAAATGCAAGAAGCATCGTCACTCGTCAAGATCATATTAGCATCATTCAAGTGTCATTCAGATTGCGCAAATCACGACCCTTTTTAAGTGCAGTCTCCTCTCCTGGCTTTGGAGCGGTGAGGGTTTTGCGTGTGCCGCCTCAGATCCAGGTTCTGCTCCTCAGCACGAGGGTTTCCCCGGCGAGCGCAGCGGGGAACCCTGCGAAAGGAGCTGTCCAGGTGCTGAAGCGAGCCCGACGAAGCCTCGGCTCTCCAACCTTCCTTCTCCCCTTTTCCACACAGCAGCGGGCGGGGAACACAATATTATCCAAACGCCATCAAAACATTGACGTTTTCGTGCCGGAGACTGACAGTAGCCAATGAATCGTGTGACATTTGCATCGCTCCGGTCACGACATAGCAGTCTAAAAATATTGGCTGTGGGGTGGACGTGTGTGTGTGTGTGTGTGTGTGTGTGAGTGTTGTGGGAGAGAGAGATAGAAAAAAAAAAAAAAAAAAAGCCCGAGAGTAGATTTTCTCAGTTCCCGATTGAGGCCAATTTGAGAGCGGATTATCGCCACAGATGATTGTATTAGCTTTACGCCTGGTAGGTCGTCCCTCTCCGTGTCATGAGCGGTTTTTTATGGTTTCCCAAAATAAAGATACTATGGGAATATAAATTGCCTTCACAGCAATTGGTTTAACCGTTTGTCATTCACCGGGATTAGCCAGTCGATGGTTAAACCGCACATCAATCAATCTCAAGCGTCTCTTCCTTTATTTAAGCACGCCTGGACGCGGGCTGCTGGCGATGTTATAGGCTGAGGCTCATATTTCAGGGTGTGTATGAATTAACAGTAGTAGGCCTGTAGTTACAACCGAGGGGGGCTGCGTAACGCCCTGCGTGTTCAGGGTCTAAAGCTGCTGCTGCGGTTTTAACAGTGGAGTTGAAGAAAAATAGGAAAACTCACAAATATTGAATGAATTTTATTGAGCACGTGAGCAGAACAGATAGCCTATTATTTGGCACACATGTAGAAAAGTGCATCATCACCAAAACAAATTTGTCCTGTGAGCCAAAAGACCAACTTAAAATACATTTCACTTTCCTCGTCAAACCCTAAAAGGGCATTTTTTTCTAATTATGTTTTCAAAAATCAATACATTGGAATTTTCTCAAAAACATCCATTCTTGCAACAATCACAGTGGGAGCTTTTATCGGAAAGCTAAACTTCAACATATAGCCAACTACCTGATTTTTTATATATATATAT